AGCCTCCTGAGTGCTAGGATTACAGGCATGTGCCACCTGAATGCAGGGTTCTAATATTTTTTTTTTTTTTTTGTTCTGGGAATCAAATTCACAACCTTGCGCTTGCCAGGCAGATGCCGTGCCACTGGGCTACACCCCAGCATCCTCAAACAGAATTCTTAAACAGTAAAAATCTACTAGAACACTCAGAACAATTTAACTGCAGGTTTTGCTTCCAGAAGTGTTAACTGCTGTGAGAGAAATGGACGCCACACATGGTGCAGGAGGGCGGAAAGCACCACGCATGGCCAGTGTCTAGGCGGAAGGACACCTTGCGAGGCTCCTTCGGAACCGCCGCTCTCCCAGAAGGCCGAGGTAAAGACAAAGGCAGCAAGGGCACCGCTGTGGCTGCCCCTCACGTGACTGCTTTCATGATGCCCTGAGGCCAAATGGCCGCTTGGTGGCCTTCTTTCCTCAGCAGTGCGAGTCACACCCACGATGGGAACAGCATCAACACGTATAACGCTGCTCAGAGGACAGCCACACCCGGAACCACAGCCCCCACAGGCCCACAGATGGCAGGGCCCAGGCTCTCTCACTCTCACCTATGGGACTTGCGCCCAGGTGAGGGCAACCAGATGCACCAGCGCACCGCGCCTCGAGGCCCTCCTTACCTTGGCTTTTCAGTGCATCCGTCACCGTTTGCGTGACGTTTCTGAGGCAGGAGAAGGGGAGGCGCTCACTTGCCAGGATGCTGTCCAAAGCCTAGGAGAAGAGGCCAAGTGGGCTCAGAGCTCTAGGGCAAGGCTTCGCCCTGTACATGTTACCTCCGCTGCATCTTCACTACACCCCACTGCAAAGAGAAGCTTGCTATCTGAGGCACTCAGCAGACTGGTCTGAGACCAGGCCGCACCTGAGACACTGCGTGACCATGGCACATTGGGTCGCCTGCGCTGGGCCATGAGTCCCAGATGGAAAGCAGCGGCCTTGCAGGCAGCGGCAGGCCAGACAAGCTGAGACAGGACAGAGCGAGGGGCAAGGGAACAGCAAGGCCCTGCTGCACGCAGCAAGTGCAGACATAGCGCGGAGGCCCGGGCCTCAGGGTCCGGTGCTGCTGCCCCACGCTCCGCACACGTGGGTTTGCACTCACCCTGCATGCCGGCACAGAGTCAGAGCCCAGCTGCTGGGACCACATGTTAAAATCTCGAGGAAGAATGTGGCAAGAAGCAGATGCAGATCAGTGCACGGTGCAGGTTGGGGGGCGGGTGTGGCGGAGGCTGCACCCCACAGGCCTGGGCTGGGAGCAGTGTGAGCAAGCGGCTGCCTCCCCACAACCTCTCCCTGGCCTGCACTGCCTTCTTCACTTGTGCTGTGGCCACTGGGCAAGGATCACTTGCTATGGAGTTTTTTGGATCCCAGGTAAAATTCAGCTTCATACATGATTCAGCAGTAAAATAAACCCCATGAAGGTCATTCTAACTATGCTGAGTGCTCCAATGCTGTTGCTCCACGGTGTGATTAGCTCAGAGCTATTGGGTTTGGGTCCCTAAGTTGCCTTGTGAGGTGCCCACTGTCACTGCAGTGTCACTTGTAACAACTGACGAAAGAGCCCGCTGGCAGCCAGTGGAGTGGACAGCACACTATGACAAAGCAGCACAAAGTGTAAAAACGACCCCAAAGCTGCCATCCCCTCCATTTCCCATGCGCGTGGCTGTGACGTACTAGAAGACAGGCTGGGCCGAGCCTGTAGCTCGGGTACAGAGCTCCCAACACCCACACATTGCCAGAGCCATGGGCTGGCAGATCTCCCGTTCCTGGCCAGGGCTCCGCACACCCCTGCCAAGCAGGGTGCTGAGAAGCGGTTACTAAAGCTGTTGGCATGTGTCCTAGGGATCCTGACATATAGCTCCTAAGGCCTCTGGCTCCTCCTGGCTCGGGATACTCTCGGGTGGTAGGGGAGGGCTACTAGGGAACCCACATGGGGAGCACAGCTGGAACTTCTGAGGCCACCCTGGATTCTAGGGAGAGAGGTGCTAGGGCTGAGTTGGTCACTACAACCAGTGAAGCGGCCGATCGTGGCTAAGTGCTGAGCTTCCATGCATAACCAAAAGGACAGGGCCTCAGTCCTCACAGTGGGACAGCACTCCTGGAAAGCGGCCAGAGCTGTGTCCCCTTGGTGCTCAGCCTGCCTTCTCTTCCCCTGCTCTGGTCATCTTGGCCTGTCATCCTCGATAGCATCAGGGGAACACAATGTCTCCCCAGAGTCTGAGACATGCTCCAGCAAGCCAGTGGAACTCCAGGAGGGCGTCATGGTGGGGCGGAAGCTCAGGTGACACCCACCCCTTCTGGGGTTCTGAGTGGTGGGCAGTACAGGTCTGAGCCCCACCCATGGGACCTGACATTCTTGCTACGTGGACAATGTCAGGGCTGAACCTACAGGGACACCCACCAGGGCCACCTGGCAGGCCTAATAGTTAGGTGGGAGTCAGCCACACCCACCTCTCTGTAGCCTGAGCCACTACATGAGTGAACAGGAAAAGCCACTCTGATTTGTGGCTTTCTTATATTCTTACCACATCATTTTATATTAGTTTTTACTTCATTAAGTTAAAATCATATTTCAAATTCTTTAAAATACCATACATGTATACCATACCATACACGTGAGAGCAGCGGTACCATACCACACACCGTGATCCGTGAGGCTGGTCTGCAGGCCATAGCGGGGCCTGTCTGCCAGGCAGCCCTCGATAGCCTTCTCTGCACCGCCTGTGTGTCCCTGCTGGTCCTACCTAAGCTTCTACAAAGGGAATACCTCCTGAGTAACTTGTACCTATGGCACTTCTTCATGGGTCCCCTAAATTTCAACATGGAGCTCTCAGGAGCACCCCGTGCTGGTGTGATAAAGTTGGGCCACCAGGGAGCCGCGTCACATTCCTCACACCAGTGAATGTTCTCTTAGACTGTCACGCGACTGCCTCGATCTGCTCAGTCCATACCCTTCTCCGGGGCGCTACGCTCAAAGACAAGACCACGCTTTATGTTCTCAGGTCTTTCTTCCACCAACATACAGATATAATTTTTACAAGTCATTAACGTACAGTTCTTTCATTAGTCCCTCTAACAAATTTTACAACAGACTATTTTCAAAGATTATGATTTTGCTGCATTTCTGCTTTGTCTTTGGTTGTACTGGGAAAAAATTTCAATTTGGCTGTACTGTTCTGCACAATTATGTTTCTTACTGTAAGACTTTTTCTGGTGGGGGTGTACCTAAAATAACAACTATCTGCTGACAACGTGTTTTTCAACATCCACAGTAAGAATGCCCATGCACCTAGGGGCTTGTGCTTTCTTCTCGCAGACACGTAAATCATAGGTGTGGTCATTGGGCAAACAATTACGGAACTTTATCCTGTGTTTGTGCCCGTTTCCCTTGACATACCAGTGAGAATGCAGAGGTCCTTGCTGTAAGGATCAGACCTTTTCCCAGGTTTTATTGCCCTCTTGAGTATAATACCCAATTCCACACTTTCCTACACTTCCTCAAGGGCTCCTCGGCTCTGTGTCAGAGAAACGGAAACAGTTCAGCACCGCCAAGAAATGACCAAGCTGCGCGCATTCTCTCCATGCCCATGGTTCTTGCAGACCAGCACAACCTCGCGTCTGCTAATGGCACTAGTCCCACAGTTAATGACACACCTATGAACATGTTCCCCTTGCGGGCTGCGACAGATCCCCAGCACTGCTGAGGATTTCTTCTTTTTGTACTAAAGCAGCACTGTATAGCGTACCTACTTGTGTCTTCAGCTGTACCTGTGAGAATATTCTCAGACACAACTCACACTCACCACAGGAGCCCTAAGGGACACGGCTCACCAGGTTCCCGCGTCTCCCGTGGAGAAGGCGTGCTCCCTGCGCCCCTCCTGGGTCACTGCAGGTGACCTGTGCTCACGTCTGAGTTGCACTGTGTGCCCCGGTGCACTGGCCGGGAACATCGTCTCCTAGTGCCCCCACAAGTGACAGGCAGGAGACCCAAGGTGCCCTGTCCCCGCACTGGACCCTACAGCAGGCCCGCCCACTCCAGCTGGGGAGGGGCTTTGGGGACCGAGAGCCTGTCTGTAGTGCTGCTGCTCTCACCTGCTCTACGTCAGTGTGGCAGAGACAGACCCCTCGGTGGGTTCTGCGCCTCTTTCCCATGCACCTGACATAGACGTGATCCCCCTGGACTGCTCTGAGCTCCCGCCGCCACCGCCGCCTCCCTCTAGTCCTGTAGCGCAGCCTGGAGCCTGGGCCTCAGGCAGGTCAGGCCGGCGGCCCTGGCCACCCACGCCCTGCTCTGCACCACGCCTGCCCCCAGTGCTTCCTGGTTTCTCTGACAGCTCCACTTCTTCATCAGTTTTTATTTTTCAATTTTCTAACTGTTGCACTTTTTTTCTTGGAAGCATTTGCTTTACCAGGCATCCAGGCCTAAGCAGCACAATTATGACGCTTTCCAAACTTTGCGACTGATTCCTCTCAGTGTGCCAGAGAGCTGCGCTAAGACCTTGGGCCGCAATCAGAACTCCAGCGCACATCTGCACGTGCTGAGAGCGCTACAGAAGGGCCTGGCAGGGTTCCACCCGGAACACCAGGGAGGACGGGAGCCCTACTGCTCGTGGAACATGGGCTGGCTCAGCGGAGCTGGGGCTGCGGGCAGCTCGGTGGCGCACACTTGTGTGGCCTGGGCTCAGCCCAACATGGCAAAAATAAAGGAGGTGGCACAGGAGTTAAGAGCCATCCGGGGGACTGAAGGGCCACCTATGAAGCTGCAGAGGCAGGGCAGAAGCACCACCAGAGGGATCTGGCACAGTGGGAACACACAAGTTTCCAGAGCTACCACATTGCAGCCACCCACGTGCAGAGGTAGTGGTCTGACCACCGTGGGCCGCTGCGGCAGAGGCACGTAGGGCTGCCACACAGAGCGCAGGGATCCTTACCAGATAGCCGCTATGCTGAAAAGCAGTTTCTCATCAACCAGTACAGCCTGGGCAGCTCATACCAGCTAGGAATGGGGTACCCACCTCCAAGCCCAGCACTGTGGGAGGCAGAGGCAGTAGGACTGCAAATGAGCCCAGCCTGACTATCAGGGACTTAGCTAGACACTGCCTTGAAACTGAAAGGCTAGGGATGTAGCTCAGTCAAAGCTCTGGGTTCAATCCCTAGCACTGGAAAAGGAAGCGGCAGCAATTCTGTAGCTAGCAACTGAGCAGGGATAAACTCGGGCCAACTCTCGAGTGTGTGCAGAGAAAACAGGCTGAGGGCAGCACAGAGCCGGGGCACAACTGGACATGGCCTCACTATGCACTGACAGGGAGCGCGAGGACAGCCTAGAGGCCAGGAGAGGCGAGTCCCTTCCCAGTTCAAAGAAGCAGGCAATGCCCCAGAGGGCGCACGCACACACCCTGCAGCGATGGAGAAAGACAGAACTGAAGTGTGGAACTGTGACCTGTGGCTCCCCAGTGATGAGAGGCGAAGGTGGGGGAGGAAGGTCAGGCACCTCAGCCCCAGCCAGGCGCCACCTGCGCATGTGCACTTGGATGCCTACCCTGGACAGGTGACAGAAAACACAGGCGCTACCGATGGGAAATCACTGTTTAAGACACAGACAACAACTTCCTTGTGGGGACAGAAAGAGGGGCAGGAATGCGAAGGAAGACTCGGGAAGGTGGCTGCAGCCGGCACCTGGAGGAAAGCAGGCAGGGGTGTTCTTCCGAGACACATGGCAGCCCCTCAGAGGGAAGTCCATGTATCGTGTTCACTTACTTGGGCTTTGGTTGCAGGGTACTTAATGTCTAGAATTAACTCCTTTATTTCTGCTTCAATCGAATCTGCAAGAATATCCAAAGACAGTTTTCACATGTTATGATAAGAAAATCAGCGTTTTCCTTTTTAGTGGCGGTGAGAGGAGGAGGCACATGGACCCCAGTCGGCCTGCACCAGGCTCCCCAGGTCAGTTTCTGGCCTGGGGCCACCAGACCCCACAGCACCGGGGAAGGCCCTCGCCGCTGCTGCGACACCTACCCAGAGCGGGTGGCCGGACCCTCAGCAGGGCCGCCAGCTTCTTCACCAGGTGCATGTCCTTGGCACGCTCACTCTTCTTATCACTGGAATGAATATAGAACGGACAACTCCTTGCAGCATGTGAGGCCGCCATCCTCCCCCAACTTCCCACAGAGCTTGAAGGCTGTCAGCCTGGGAGCCCCAGCTGCCAGCCCAGCACAGGGCAAGGGCAGTGAAGGGCGCGCGGCACAGGCATGGGCCTCACCTCAGCGCCAAGTGGAAAGGGATGTTCACCGTCTTCACGCTTCCAGACACTGGGTCCACGAGGCAGATCTGGTACGTCTGTGGCTGCCAGCTCTGGCTGGTGATGTTATTTAAGCCCATTATTTTATACCCAGGATACAGCAGCCTAAGGGACATGCACACCAAGACAGTAAAGATACCAAACAGGAGAAAGCAAAGGCTGTAACCCCAACTGGGGAGCCGCATGGTCTTCTCTGCTCAGTAGTGTCTGTGAGGCTGGGGCCAAGGCCAGGCGGAAAGCAGGCCCTGCTGGGCAGCTCTTCCTTGTAACACAGGGTGGAGACTAGGTGCACACAAGTAGGCTCATGGTCAGTGGCCAGCACAGCGCTCCCCTGCATTGCATCAGCAAGAAGAGCTGATGGGATCTTTGGCTCTGAGCCCCTCAACACAGGGATGGGTGGCGGCTGCCAGAGTTTGCCTGACTCTGTGGTGACTTCATCGTTCAACCCCAGGCTTTCACAGGAGAGAAGAGCATGACCATCCCACCCCTCAAGCCTGCAGCTCACCGGCAGTGCTTGCCCACATTGAAGGCTCCCACTCGAGGCCCCTGCTGTGTGCTCCACACCTCCAGGATCCCCCTTCTTGGCGCATAGATCACAAGGAACTGAGCCACCCGGCTGGGGCCTTGGCTACTCCCGAAGGGCGTAGGGTCGGCAGTTTCCGGAGCTCGCTCCTGCAGGTCCTCCACGATCTGCACCCACCCAACCTGCGCATCTCGGTACCCTGGGGACAGTGGGCAAAGGTGGAAGTTACAAAACCAGATGCCATGGCAGCCCTTGGAGAGCCGGGGAGGCGGGGCAGCAGAAAAAGCTATAAGGGCACATTAGTGTTTCACTGCAAATGTCTTAAACAGA